GGGTATACAACAAACGTGAAAGGTAGGTTCAGGAAACAGTTAATGTTGTGTTTGATGATGCTTCAGGAATAACTGTCAGATTACAGTTGCTTAACTTGTCAGACGAGGCGCATATCCAGTTGGGGGAAGGATCTCCACCTTTGAGCAATACATAAGAAGAAGGGTCTGAGCAACCGTCAGATTCAGAGTCAGATAGAGAAGAACTGATGCCTCATCCGAATTCCCAGCATCTGCTGGATGGGCAATCTCAAAACTCTGTCGAGCACAGACATACGACTCAAGTTGGAAGTCTAACCGGTCTCATCCACAAATATCATAAAAAATCTGATGTGATTGGGGATGTCTCTGGCAAGCGAGTGACACGTGAAAAGAAGTAAGACTACAAGCAAATGGCTAAAGGTAACTACTCGATTATTGGATTTGCATGTTTTGTTGCCAGCTTTGAACCCAAGGACCACAGAGCAGCTATCTCAGATGAGTTCTGGATAATGGCAATGCAAGAAGAAGTTGAACAATTTGAACGCAGTCGAGTATGGACACTTGTGCCCCGACCACCTGCCAGCAATGTGGTGGGAACAAAATGGATCTTCAAGAATAAAACTGATGAAAATGGAACAGTAGTACGGAACAAGGCACGACTGGTGGCACAGGGGTATTCTCAAATTGAGGGAGTCGATTTTGAAGAAACCTTTGCACTGGTTGCTCGACTGGAGTCTATCAGACTTCTGATTGGAATCGCTTGTCTTCTCGGATTCAAACTGCATTAGATGGATGTCAAGAGTGCCTTTCTCAATGGACTCCTTCAAGAAGAAGTCTATGTTGAACAACCCAAGGGGTTTGAGGATCCCAGTCATCCGGATTATGTGTACAAACTGTGTAAAGCACTGTATAGGCTCAAACAGGCCCCCAGAGCATGGTATGAATGTCTCACCACCTTCCTCCTATCACATGGCTTTCAACGGGGTAGTGTAGACAAGATGCTGTTCTTTCGTGCTGATGCTCAGGGCTTTCTAGTCGTTCAGATATATGTGGACGACGTAGTTTTTGGTAGTCCACACCCTGCACTTGTGGATACATTTGTGGCTATGATGACACGCGAATTCGAGATGAGCATGGTCGGTGAACTGTCTTACTTTCTGGGGCTTCAAGTGAAACAGTCCGAGGAGGGTATCACCATCTCACAAAGCACATATGCTCGAAATATAGTCACTCGGTTCGGGATACAAACGTGCAAACCAGCTAAGACACCAATGGGAACTGACATGAAGCTGTCTCGAGATGAGCACAGCGAACTGGTTGACCCAAGAGTATACCAAGGTATGATTGGCAGTCTGTTATACCTCACGCCTAGTCGTCCAGATATATGCCTAGCTGTTGGAATCTGTGCATGCTATCAGGCAACATCCAGAGCATCTCATCTGACAGCAGTGAAACGCATCATCAGATATGTGATGGATACAGCAGAGTTGGGGCTTCACTACTCAAGAGACACAAATAAGAATCTAGGCAGGTACTGTGATGCAGACTGGGCTGGGTGCCTTGACGACAGACGAAGTACGAGTGGAGGATGTTTTTTTCTTGTCAACAACCTAATATCCTGGCATAGCAAGAAACAGAACAGCGTGTCGTTATCGACTGTTGAAGCTGAATACATTGCGCTTGGAAGCTGTTGCACACAACTTTTATGGATGAGACAGATGCTTGCTGACTATGGTATGACCTCTGAATATATGCTAATTCTTTGTGACAACGAGAGTGCTATAAACATTGCTAAAAACCCTGTTCAGCACTCACGAACTAAACACATAGACATTAGGCATCATTTCATTCGTGAACTTGTAGAAGGGAAACTCATAGAAATTGGACATGTGAGTACGGATAATCAATTGGCTGGCCTGTTTACCAAACCACTGGACTATAACAGATTTACGAATCTAAGAAAGTCCATTGGTGTGTGTCAAATCTAACTGTTGTGTGTTTTTGAGTTGGTATGGGGTAGGAACAGGCACAGGAACATGGTGTAAAAGCGTGAAAGTTGACGGACCTCAGAGGAAGAGGGCTGCCTGTTGTGTTATCCCAGGATTTACTCAGCACTGTGAGTCACAGATGAGTGTTAAGCACAGAGAAACATAAGGGATACTCTGATACGTAAAGGCAGTTTGAGCAGCACAGAAAAAAAAAAAAAAAAAAAAAACAAAAACAAAATTTTTAGCTGCTCAGATAGAGACAATACAAAGTTTGTTTGCCATTGTATAGCTGATTCTGATGATCTTGACCTTTGACGGATCAAGTGATGGCTCAAAAGAAGTAGACGATGATTCCTAACCAGATTTCTGTTGAATGACAACCGTCTGTGCTCCAAGATGAAAGCTGAGAAATCATGGAAGAAAGACACGATGGTGTGAAAGCTAGTCTCTGAGGATGAAGAACAGAGTTTTATCTGAGTATGTTTCCCATGTTTCTGTCGCGTGTTCTGGACCAACTTGTGGAAGTCCATGTACGTACACACAATAGACAAACGATGAATGCCACAAGTATCTGTCTCTCATGCTCTAAAATCTATTTGTGGGTTCCTCTATGCACGGGTATCTGATTGCAGGTGTCTGTGGAGTACATGTGTGGGTGCCGTAGTGGTATGTTTTGCACTTGTTACTGGAATTAACTAAGATCATGTCTTATTTGTCTAACAAAGGGGTCAAGTTTGTGTGCACAGTATATGGGCTAAGCCCAACAGGTCTAAGCCCATTTCTGAAAAGTTGCAACGCTTTGGAGGGAATATTTTAGGTTTTTGAGAGAGAGAAGACAAACAGTTCAGAGTTCCATCGAAAAGAAAAAAAAAAGAGTTCTTTTTTCACTGTTCCCTCTCTCTCACGAAGTCGACGAAGATGAATCTCTTCCTCTCTAGTTTGTCTCGTCTTGTCGGCACCAGTTCAGTCGATCCAGAATCCAATCTACCTGGATCTTCGTCGTCTCAGCCGGATTTCACAACTCCAACCGCTGAACACGTCTCACCTGCTGCCTCGAAGTCCGAACCAGTGCATGCGGAAGACAATCCACAGGCCGTAGAAGTGTACAAAGGGGAAGCAACTCCGACAAAGGCACCAAAAGAACCGATCATCCAACTAGTCGAAACAGAGCCACCAAGTGTCGAGGAATTTCAACCGGCGGGATCTGACAATCAGTCTACTGGCACCAAACGGTCAACTGTGGTTAAAGGGTCTACAGCAACATCCTGCCGCAATGTCATTAGGAAGCGCGCGGCCCAGTTCTCGGTATTGCCTCCATCGCCTACACGGTCTGAGCCTAGCCTTAAAAAGAATCGATCCTCTAAAGGAAAAAGCGTGCTGGTATTTGACGATGCTCGTTTCAAATCAGCAGACGCACAGGAAAGGTATGTGTCTTTTGCATCGCGTCCAATTCTAGAGGAACGGCTGATTGACTTTGCTGAGGAACATAAGGAAATTGAGTCAATGATTAGTAATGCGGGTCTGGAAAGTATTATGAGTCGTGTGGAGGCGTATGCTAAAGATGTGGTCCTTGAATTCTACACCCATCTCTCGCTTACAAAACCAATTGAGGATGCAGTTGCTGTGTGGGTTCGCAGTCACGAGTATGAATTTTCTATTGATCGAATAAATGAGTTTTTTGGGCTGAAAGCACTTGCTGAGCAGGCTAAGGTTGCAGAGGTTAAGGAACTAACTGATGAAGCCCTGGCCTGTTTTATGTCTGATGACAAGGAAAAGCTTCTGAAGAAGATGACTCCTACTCACTTTGCACAAGACAAAGCTCTCTTATACCGGATCTGCTGCTTTAACTGGATGCCAACAGAAAATCCGGGATATCCTAGACCAGACAGAGTCAAGATAGTGTTTAAGGTCTGCAATGGGATTTCGATTGACTTTGGGAAGCTGGTGTTTGATCAGGTTGTGTATCAGTCTCGACTAGGCGACAAAAAGTAGAATCTGGTGTTTCCAAGCCTCATCTATCAACTGCTGTTGCGAGAGGCGCCAATCGTTCAGGATGCTGAGATCTTCTTGACTCCGATTCTCACCTACAAACGTGTAGCGACTCTGGTCTCAGTCAAACAGGAAGCTACCCAGACTATCAAGAAGGAGCGAGGTCGATCTGAAGCTCCCACTGTGAGAGCCGCTGGACCAAAGACCATCACCTTGTCGTCCCGCGATCACAGAGCTCTAACAGCCGCGATTCGAGTCCTTCAAAGGGTTCTGACCACAGGTAAGTATCCCTCGAACTTGTTACTTGAGCCAGTGCATCTTGTTTCCTTTTGACTTAACTGTGTACTCAAGCAGGGGGAGAAACTGATGATGAGGTCGAGGACATTACTCCAAGCTGCTGACTGGATGACTGGAGATGTATGGTCCTTAGGGGAGTAGTTAGTATGGGGGAGAGTTAGTTTTTGTGAGACTATAGATTCGGGTTGGTTTTTAGGAGCGAAACTATGTCTCTTATCTCCCTGTATTTCCTTTAGTTACTAACTCTTTTTATGGTCCTCTACGGATTGTTTAAAACTTGGTATGTTGGTGGTTTTTGAACTATGCTTGATGTTTGGTTATGTGTTAGTTAAATGCATTTCCTCTGGTATGTTTGCGTATGACTAACTATTGTAGGCAGGAATTTTTGAGCACCAAGTCAAGTCAAAAAGGGGGAGATTGAAGATGCAACAGAAGTGGAGTAGGCAGCAACAAGAATGGAATGCGCTCGTCACAGAAGATAGAAGACGGTGTGACACAAAGAAGAGTTCAAGGCCTTTCGTATATTTGTGTATATGCGAAAGGTAGAGTGAAAAAAGAAACTAAAGAATAGATTTAGGAAACTTAGTTTTCTGCTCTTTCTAGGTCTTTAGTATAAAAGGGACAAGGGTAGAAGTAAAGAGGTAACACTTCCGACCTAAACCAGAAAAACGGCGCCATAACTTTGTGCAAAAAGCAAGAGATAAGCTTTAAAGTTAGTGTTCATTTTAGGATTAGATCTAGAATCACATGTTGTGGATTCTAGTATTAGCTTGAGATCAGTTGGTTCAATCTAGAGTTCTAGAGTTGTGTAAAACCAAACTAAGTGTAATCGTGTTAAAATTAACTTATTGATTCAAGTGAATAAAAACATTTGTCTTGGTGCTGTCCAAGACACATAAATCTGTGTTGCCTTGTTTTCTGTTCTTTTAATTTAAGGTTGTCATTGGTAGCCGCTAATTTGCGTTTAAACCAATCGATTGTGGTTTTATTAAACCATTTTGTCCAATTTTTTTAAAGTTTCTTTTAATCAACACTTGTTTTTTGGTCAAATTGTAGTCTTTTCTTTTTCTTTTTCCTTATTAGATTATGGAAGAGAAATAAAATGTGTACAAGTTATTTGGAATGTTAAAATTTGAATACAACAATCAAACTCATAAACCTTTTTGGATATTTGATTCTTGTGTGGTAAATGTTTAGGTGCAATGTATTCGTTTCCTCAAATACGGTTACCAGTTTACCACAGGGAGCTCTTCAAGCGGCGAAGCAATCCGGAAAAGTGTTGGACGTTTTCTTCTGTCTTAAGCTCTTAGAAGCCACAGGAATCTCCACAGTGCCTGGCTCTGGATTTGGACAGAAAGAAGGGTAAAACAAACTAAGAAATTTACTCTGGTTTTTTTTCGGTTCTTGTTCTTTTTGGTACCTTTCCTTATTAACTATTAAGTCATCCGTTCTTGCGGATTTTTGACAGTCTGTTCCATCTGAGGACAACGATCTTACCTGAAGAAGAGATCATGGACAGTTTTCAAGAAGTTCAATGACGAGTTCTTTGGTTATTCCACAATGTGATTACTTCTTCTTCTTCTTCACATGACAAACTAACCAAAGGAAACTCTACAATAAAATAGATAATTAACTTTAATTTAGAAGCTTATTAGATTTATCCTTTTTGTTTTATACTTTAGAGAGAATAGATAATTTCCATTTTAGAATAATGTTAAGTCTTTCAACTATAAGTATGTATGCTTGGAGAAGCAAAAATTTCATTCGATCAATTGAGAGTAATAAATAAGTTTTCAGAATATTGAGAGAGAGCAGAACTGAAGAACAATAAATCTTTTTTTCTTGTTAAACAATTTGTTTAGTAAACCATGGATTCTCCAAGTAACAAGAAGACTAAAGAAAAAACAGAAGTGGAGAAGAGCAGAAATCTTAATGGAGGAGAAGAGTTCACAACACCTAAAAAAGAGCAATTCAGGATTTCACTTCCACAAGAGTGTCCACCAACTCCGAAAGCATCTAAACGCCGGATATCATTCTTCAATGGCCAGGATTAACAATTCAATTTCTTTTCTTTTTTTTGCTTAAATAATATTTAATATTTTTATGATATTTAGTTTTTAATGATATTTATATACCATATGATTCCACATTGTTTTTTTCATATATCTTAACGAAATAAGATAATTTTGTTAGTGGAACTTGAGATTATAGACATTCAATAATAAATAGTACTCTACATTATGTTAATTGGATTGAGTAATTCAATATTCATACCACCAAAACTCTCCTTCATACATTGTTTGGTTTTTTTCTTAATTTTTAAAATTCGTTTATGTGAAAGAGTTGTTTCGTCGGTCTCAAACAAATTCCAAATTAATGATGGAAATTTGTTATCGTTAAAATCCTTTTTATTTGTATAAATATCATTGTGGTTTAGTCATTGTCTAGCAACTGATTATATTACTTGATTTTTGTAATACTTTTAGTTGTTGAATGATAGATACCAAATGACTGCGTATGCAAATTTGATCGAATATAATAACAACTCAGAATAAACCACATAAACCCATATGAATTCGTGTAAATAGATCAAATTCAAACACTTTGTGGTTACAAGGAGACCACTCATATAAAATAAAATAAAATAAAATTATCTAAAACAGACACAAAAGAATTGAGAATTATCCTATGAACCAAGATAGGAAACTAAAGTGGTAGATTACACATCAACAAGACGATGTAATTGTTTAGCTCAAATATCGGTTAGGAGAATAAGAAAAAAAAAAAGCTTTCACAAATCAAACGTGAATTATATGTTACAAGGAAACAAACGGAGGAGAATCACAAACAACACCATAGCAGTTTCAAATAAAAACAACATTCCACTTTATTCAAACCGTCTTTTGAAATCAGTGTAAAAAAGAGACAAATGCTCTCTCTCTTTGATTTGGACGATAAAGAAATGTTACAACAATGGTACAAGTAAGATCATCAATCATGCAGTGATTGTGACGCTGCATACACACGAACCAGACAGTTTAATCTCAGATGCTTTCCACTGCTTGCCCGGTGCAGCTTCCGGGTCATACAATAAAGTGCTGTGACCAGTTTCTTCCTGAGAAGAAAAAAGCAGAAGCTTCCCACTCAGCTTACCAAACTGAAACCCTGCCCTCGAGCTTCCTGAAAGCGGAAGAGCCACCACTTCCCAAGTATCATCTTCCGCGTTGAACACCGACATCTTCCTCTGGTTCTTCCACTCGATACAGAACAGCTTTTGTCCTACTTCAACATGAGCTGTGACCATCTGCAAATAGTATAGACCATCCAAATCTTAATAACAGTCTCTATACTTCAAAACCAAAGCATTAAGCTCAAACTCAATGATCAAAAGACTTACAGTTAAACCGTTTTTGCTGCCACACCAGGAACCGCATTGAGTGTTGTAGACATCAACAAGTTTTGAGTTGCCAATAGTGAAGTTTGATCTCCCACCCATCACATAGAGCTTCCCGTTGAAGCTGCTAGCGAAACATCCCCATCTCGGACGCCTTAGAGACTCTATAAAAGTCCATAAGCCCGTCTCTGGATCATACACCTCTGCACTAGACAGACTCTCTCCGTCTACACCGTGACCTCCCACCACATAAACAAGCCCATTCACCTCAGCACAAGCAAAGTCATAGCGAGCTACTTTCAGATCAGCTAGTCTACTCCAGCTAATTTCATTACAAAAACCAAATGTCAGAATCTGGAAACTTTATTTATGTCCACAAAAGGATGCTGAAATCAAGAACATGACAAACCTGTTGAGGCAAGTATCGAACTGATAAACATCAGAAGATGCAGCATGAGAGCCGTTGATCATACAGCAACCAGCGATAACAAGAAGCTTCCCGTCGACCACAACCACCTTAAACCCTGTTTTTGCAGGACCAGGCATCGGTGGAAGAGACGACAGCTTATGCCCTAAACAGTTCATCACCTCCCAGTGGCTCTCTTTCCCTCCAGCATTCATCGTTAAGACGTAGAGCCACTCCTCAAGCATACCTGCGAGTCTCCTCACGGTGATAAACTCTTTGCTCTGGACAACGAACCTCCATTTCTTGCAGACACGTCCCATGGAAGGGAAATTGGCACGTGGAACAAGCGCAAGACACAGCTTCGCCACGTCATCAGACAACCCCGGAATCAAAGGCTCGTCCCGGAAACGCTCAGACAACAACCGTGAACCAAGATCAAGATTCCCTTTCGAGAAACACATTTCTTGATTCACTACAATCCTTTTCTTCCCACTTACAATAGCCTGCATCTTTTGACTAAATCTTTCGAACGAGAGGGATCGATGAAAAAAAACCTCCCAAGAAAATGTCTAACTATAGTATGATCTTTGTGTTATGAGAATGTTATTTAAAGAATCTCGTGAAACCCGTCACGTATAGTGATTTTCAAAGACAAAGGTATAAACAATGTAGAGGAGAAGAAGCTTATTGAAGTGACCACTGATGAATGATGATTATGTCCAGCCCAATCTAATTCATATTCCATACCAAGAGCTTCGCTTCTTCTACAAACGTTAGGATCTATGATTGTTGTTAGATTAATGTTGTCTCTTCTCACACACATCTCCGTATCTAACCAAAAACAAGATTTAAAGATCTTGTCAAAACAACAGATTCCAAGATTCCAGCAAGAAACAACGGAGAAGAAAACTACATACCATTAAGGGTAAGGGTCATGCTATAGAAGAAAGATTCAGCCTCCCGCAACATCCATCTTTAGAATCTGCGAATATTCTGCAAAAAAAAAAAAAAATTGTTCAGATGAGTCAACTCTCGAACGTAGTCAAGAACCAATAAGATCTCAATCAGGAGAATCAATATCAAACAAAGAGATAGGGTGCTCCCAAAAAAGAACAATTTCGAGAGTATAAGCATCACATACCACACGAATACAATTATCTGAATGGCTATCAATTATTTCCTAAAAAAGGAACAAATTATCATGAAAATCTGAAATTAAAATTCTAACACAAAAATCGACATTATCTTAATACTGCCTACGACAGAACTAATTTCCAGGATTGGGCAAGATCTCAAGATCGGCTCTGAACAGAAAATTTCTAAAAAAACAAACAATCAAAATCAAAATCAAAATTGTAGAGAATAAACAATCAAAGAGCAAGCAAGCAAGTTTAAATCAATGAGGATGGTCACAAACCTGAAGCCAAAGAGGAGACTCAACAGGGAAAAATCGAAAACGAAAAGGTAAAGACATTTATACAATGAAGAGCGAAAATGGCGGAAAGAAATAGCAGAGAAAGGAGATAAAGATGAGATACCGAGAGAATAGGGAGCTTTGTCGTTTCTTTGGTCTTTGTGCTTCGTTATGCGTTGAAGTTGGTGCAAAGAAGATAACAATGAAAGAGAGCAAGAGAGAGATGAAGTAATACTAATAATGGTGGAAATGAAGAGAGCGTGAGATTAGGAATTTATATATAGCAAAGTCACAGGAGGCAGACGGTGGAATGGATCTCCGTAGATAATAATGTCAACTAGTCACCACGTCACATTCACCCCATCACTACTATTTATATAGAAATACATTTATTATATCATTACAGAAGACATGTTTTGATTCAGACAACGGGAAAAACAAGACATGTTTTTGATCATTAAAAAAATATCAACTTATTTTATGTCCACTTACAATATTTTCACATTATTTATATTTTAGACTTTTAGTTATTC